CCCCCCCCCCCTCCCCTCACCCTGTATAATAATTAGCAATTATTCACCGTAGTGGAGGTGAATAGGCGGTAGATAATTACCCATCCCTGAAATTATGAATACCTAGCGGACACTAATTTCCTCTTTAGTAACCGAAGCAAAACGGAAGCCATTTTTTATTTCTCTTCGGCTTTTCGGAGATGAATACTTTACTAATCTCGTCCGAGTAGACCACTCAGAACCCATGAATAGCATACATATATAGTATGCACAAACATACTTATTATAAATGCTACATGTATTCAGAAACACAATTTTTCTTGTCCTGACGTGGGCTGCCTCCTTACAAATATTCAGATGCCTGTAAAGACCTGTAAATCTTGCTCGTTTTCGAAATATTCTCATGCGAAGAAGTACCTTTAGAAAACCAACGTTGATTTGCTAGCAACCAATTTTTCCCCAAGAAATGCTCTATAGTTAAAGGCCAGGAATTACATGAGTTTACATGTTTCTAGACAAAACTGAGGCATATGGTAAGAGAGGAAAACTGTGAAATTTTGCCTGTCGAAGCCAAAAAAAGTATTAGTTAACATCATCTTAAAAGGAAAAAAGAATAATTATTTGTATTTACTTTCCACACACAAATTTGTATACACGACTTACAACACTAGTTTCGTCTAAGACCTCGTCATTTGATTGCCAAACAACAATTAGAAAACAGTCCGTGTAGCAACTCAAGAAAAATAGTCCTTATTTTGTTCTTGTTCCCATCCAAATATTGCATGGCAATCAAGTGATGAGCTTGTAGAAGAAAACTAATGTTGTAAATCGCGTACAGCGAAACCTAAATTAAGTGGACCCCATATTAAGCGGACAGTGGACACAAGCCGAAGTCGCAAAATTTTCTTCCCACATTTACTGTAAAATAAACCTGCATTCAGCGGACACCTCTGTTAAGCGGACGCGGACACCAAAAATGTTAAGAAATTTTGTTGCACAAAACTTGCAATAAACGGACACTTGAAGGGCTTTTTACTTCTACAAGCTCAGCTGATGCCAGACTCCTTTAACATTGCTCATCGATGTCGTTTTAAAGCTAATTGATTATTCCAGATTGACGCATTGATTGACTGGACATTGTACTACGCTAGTCTTTGATTTTGCACTGTGTTACAAAAGAGTTAATCATTTAGTATTATTGCACAACATATCAGAACCTGTTTGGAGCGGACACCCTGTATTAAGCGGACACTAATGAGGGTCCCAAAGGTGTCCGCTTAATCCAGGTATACGTTTCACTGTATACAAGTTAGTGTGTCGAAAACTAATGCAAACTATGTGTTTCCGTATTATTAAGATAGAAGAACTCTTGGGAGCAATTAAGTGCCCACTACAGGGTTTGACATTGGCTGTAGATACTCTACTGCCGCGGGAACCAACACAAGACAAAACCGACAATGCTTTGGCCCGTCACGCAGGCGTCTTGCATGTGATTCCAATACCTGGTACAAGGCCAGGGCTTGAGAAAAATTGGTATATAACGGGCTGAAATAAGCTGACAGTAAGAGAGATACCGGTTCAAGAGAGATTTGTCAACCTCCCAAAAAACCGTGAAGTCACACCTTAACTTGACTTACCTGTTATGTCATTGGCCAATGTGATCAGAGCTTTGTCGTTTCTCCGCAGTACGTCCTCCACCTCTCCACCGCTCATAGCCTCGATGAAGTTTACCAAGCAGTCTTCGGTCGTCAACGCACTCAGCCCACTAACGAGTAACTGATTCTGTTGAAATCGAGATTGTTCTTTTGCTTCAGCCTGCCAAGCACTCTGATCTCCTCTCTCCGTGAAACTTGACAAGCTCTGCGCACGCTTCATTCCTCCCTGACCACGCCCTCTGTTACTGCGTCTCCTTGGATCATCGCCCACAAAAGGACCTCCTAGAGAGTCGTCACAGGTGCTGTGTCTCTTCGGATTACTGTCGACGACGTGAGACGAGAACAATTGTGCGGCCTTTCCTTCATGAAGCCCCCTCTTTCCTTGATACTGTTGGCTTCCTCTTCCCTCTGAAAGACGCTGCCTTTGAGAGAACGGAGACCGATTATCGCCATACAAAACCTGATCGACATCCTGGAAACCTTCTCCAGGTGTCTGACAACTCCTGCCTCTTCCCCTGCCTCTTCCCCTGCCGCGACCCCTGTTCTTTGTTTTCGGTTTCGGCGGATGTCCTCGGCCAACGCCCCCTCCCTGAGACACTCCCATGTCATTGTCTTTGAATCCTTGATTGTTGCTTTGGCCCTGTGCAAAACTGCCTCTTGGACCTTCCCTTGACACTGCTCTTGGCTCTCCCCCGAATACTCCACTTGGTCTCGTGTTCTGGCCTCGATTACTTTGGTAACCGCCATTTTGTTCCAAATTGCAATCGCCAAAGCTATCTGTTGTCAAGTTACGTAATTCTTTGACTTCCCCTTGTTCCTTGGGCAATTCATCGTGGTTGGAAAATCTTCCTCTCTTTTCCTTTTCTCGAAAATCGGCTGCTCTGGAACTTTTTTCTTGTCCAGTCCTTGTAGGAACTTTGCCTCCCACTGAGGTTTGGAACATGTCCAGCGGATTTTCAATAGCTTGAAATTTTTGTAGCCACTTACTAGCTATTTCAATGTCTCCATTTACGTCATCGCGATGAAGAGTTCCCCTGATAAGGACTGGTGGTAAACAGCTGAATATTTTCGCAAGCTTATTTAATTTTTCTTCCATCTCTTCGGGATTTTCTTCTGGTGTTGACTGAGATTGTGGTGGAGGTGAGGTTGGTGTTGGCTGTGCATTTGGCTGGGACGGATCTCGTGTTGATTGTACATGTGCTGGGGGTGAGGGTAGTGTTGACTGTACTTGGGTTGACGGTGCTTTTGGTGTTAACTGGGAGTGCTGTGAGGGTGGAGTTGGTGTTGAATTTGCACGTGGCTGGGGTGAGGTTAATGTCGACTGGACATGTTGTTTGGGTGAGGTTGATGTTGACTGAACATGTGGTGGAGGTGGAGGTGGAGGTGCATGTGATTGGAGTGGGTTTGTTGACTGGGCATGTGGCTGGGGTGAGGTTGATGTTGACTGAGTATGCGGTTGGGGTGAGGTTTGTCTTGACTGGGCATGTGGTGGAGGTGAAGGCACACGCGGTGGGAGTGAGTTTGTTGACTGAGCATGTGGCTGGGTCGAGGTTGATGTTGACTGAGAATGTGGCGGGGGTGAGGTTGGTCCTGACGGTACTTTGGGTGGACGTGGGGCTGGTGTCCAATTTGCATGCAGTGGGGGTGGGGCTAATGTTGGCTGTGCGTGTGGTGGGGGTGGGGCTAATGTTGGCTGTGCGTGTGGTGG